GAGGCATGTTATATGGTGAAATCTTTTACATAGTTATACTCACAGAATCACTCAGTGCTATCATAGACATGCCTTCATGTGATTACCTAGTCCTTGTAGTTATAATTTAACACAGCTACATTATAGTCCATTTAGATGAAGTACTGTAGTTTATTTACACAGTTGTTATTTTACTGATGGACATTTAAGCTGTAGAAGTTGCTGTCTATGAAAATCTATGTTGCAATTAACATTTTTATGCATCTATGAAAGCCACAGCTTTCAAAGGAAGCATTTAATTCTTCCACCATCTCCTTTCCAAACACTGCACAGCACCTGCCTCTTCTCCACTGTCTATAATTGTATTTTGTCTATGAAGTTCTAGTATCTGGCTTTATTTTTAGTCACCGTGCCATGTGTCAAACCACATGCCTCTCTCTGTCATCTGTTTCACCTCCATTCACCTCCTCCAAGACTGAGACACCATAGTTGATCTTGGTTTACATGTCTCCAGGATTCTCATGAGGCATATATGAAGCTTGTCCTCAGGGGTGCTCTCAATTTTCCATGGTTGTGTGCAAAATCAAGTGTGCACATTTTATACTGAAATAATATAGGTCATGTATCAAGTTCTCAGATGTTCCAATGACCAAAAAGGAGTCGTTGACCAAGTATCACGATGCTGGGGATTGAACCCAGGGCCTTGGCATTCTAGGAAAATACTCATCTCTGAGCCATACCACAGCTCCATTGGGTATCTTTGTCTTGTTTCACTTCTCTGATTATTGCCTGACTCTAGCCCAACACTGCCTCTAAGCCTCAAATTGCCATACTCATTTGCTCTCTTGTCTTCTCTTTGTTGTTGGTGTTCCTGAGTTCACACCTGTGATGCTCTTTCTTTCTCATCTGTGTATACACTAAACCAGGCTCTTGCTTAACTTATTCTGCTGAAACTTGTTTTGAAGATGACACATCACTTCCCTCAGTCCCTGCTTATTCACTTTCCTGCTTTTCTTTAGCACTTGGGATTGTTGCTGTGGTCTTGTAACTTCCCCAACCCCTGGCCATTTGAGTTTCTAGACCTCAAACTCCTTTGCTGTTTCCTTTCTTGCCCAGGAAGGTCTTCTATGACTTCCCATCATTTGGGTCCCCTGTCTTTGTTCTTCTCTTTGTTCATCCCGTCCATCTCAAGATGCATGGAATTACATCTGTTTCTTGGAACTGATACTTGAATGTGTAGGTGCTATCCACTGGGATACTCAAGCATACTTCCAATATACCCCAAAGCAATTTCATCCTTTTGTTTGTAGGCATCTTGCATTTCTCCATGAACAACACTGCTATGCTTTGTTAGTCAGGCACCAAGTCCAAGTCATCCTACACTCATTTGCTTCCAAAACCTCTTGCTTCCAAGACCCTGGCTCATTGCCTTTCTTTCCACACAGCCCTTTTTCTTGCTGCCACACCAAGTCACCCTCTCATCACCTTCCATTAACTCTGTTGCATCTGATTTCATCTTGTGTTCCATTTTCTGTGCTCCTCCACTACCATCAGATGCTTTTGACAATAGTATTTGGTAAACACCTTCAGATTCACTCCTCTGAAACACATCGTTATTGCTTCCTGTCCTGTTCTTGACCCATCTGAACATTCCATTACGTACAAAATTACCTCAACACTTAGACCATCTCAACTTCTGACCCAAAGATACCTCTCAGCATGCATACCTAAATACACCCTGCTTACACAAGTAAGTTTCTAACATTTATCATTTGAATTCATGTACATAAATACTTAGTTCATGGGGTGTTTTTTCAAACCAAATCCCAAGGGCCATTGCTCTTTCAGCTAACACTGGTATTTTTTTTTAAAGTTTAGAGTTAAGTAACAGTATTTCAAGCAGCCTGGTGTAGGGAGTGTTAAAGCCGCTTTAACACTGTTAGCTTGAACCAGAAGCCCCACGGAATACATGAAGGCTTCTCTCAGCCCTTGCATGGCATGCCAGGTACTTAGAGTCTCTCCAGGAAACAGCTCATTCAAAAGAGGTGGCTGGGGGTGGGGCTAATAAAGGGACAGCCCACAAATGTGTGGAAAATGTTATATAAAACCAATCACAAAGGGTAGGAAGGACTGTTCCTAGACCTCAGCAAGAAGAGTATGAAGGACAGGGCATGTGGTAGGAATGGACCTTCTATGGATAAAAAAGGTCACTGTGTTTCTAGTCTGGAAAGCAGATATCTAGAAAAAAAGTCTTCAGCATTGCTTTTGCCTTTTGCTCTCTGGATGGTGCCCATCAATGGACAAACCCAAGCAATTGCTAAAAGCAGCAGGACCTGGCTAGCATAGGTGCTTGGGATTCAGATGGGGGTGGGGGAGAAAGAGTGTGTCTGCAGGATGAAGTGGAGAACACCTAGAACCCTGTGTCACCTCTGACCCCTGAATATCACTCTTTACTCTTTCTTATGCCTAAAGCTACTGGTCTTGCTCAGCAGCCATGGCTGCATCATGAGTCAATGAGAATCTTTGCCTCTGGGTGATACAGGCCTAGAATTACTTTCCTCCCTTTTGTGTCTTCCCTGCCATCTCCATGCCAGGAAGTCCTCCTCTCTCACTTCTCAGGTCTCCGCTATCCCCTTCCATGATGCAATGAAGGTACTGGGTGGAATATAAGCTCTATTCAACCGAATTTAAATCAATGCTATTTTTAATTACCTGCATTACAGCTTAAAATTTATGTTAGGTTACATTGTAAAAACTTATAATGAGAAAGAACTTTATAATGAGAAAACTGGCTTCATTTTGGAAGCTTCAATGCCTTCAATGCCATTGGAGCAATTGATGCTTTTTCTTGGACAAGCACACAGAACTCTCACTTTCCTTCGAGTCTAACCTGAGGTCTATAGAAGGAAGGGCTTTGTGATGGAACCCTTAATGGCCTACCCTCTTCTCAGCACTATCTTATATCCTCCTCTCTCAGTTTTTGTCCTGACTGCTATCCCACTCATGTTCCCCACAGGTCTGTCAGTTGGCACTGGAGAAGGTGAGAAACTAGGACCTGGGGTGCTGTTGATGACAAACACTGAGGTAGCCTCTACCCAGCTGGGTAAGGTTAATAAATTGGAAGAATTGAGGAAAACAGAGCATGAAAGGCACCCTTCCAAAGGTAAGCAGCTGCAGGCCTATCCAAGAGTGTAGACCCTGGTAAGCCAACCAATGGAAGGTCCCACATTCATAATAACTGGGGAGCACAAATTGGCTTTGATGGGGGAAGGAGACATAAAGTTGAATGGGGAGGGAAATGAGTTGAATTTGGGAGGAGTTAAGGAAGAAGGGTAAATATGATCAAAACACACTGTGTGCTATCCTCAAAGAACTAATGAAATGACTCAGAATGTGGTCTGGGAAGCCTGTGGGATAGCTGATGCTCTTCAGCACAGCCCCAAGGGCAAAGCAAGCCTGTGAAGGTTGCATAAGGGGTTGTTCACAAGCCTAGGATCTACAAAATCTAAAACAAACTGAAATCAATAGAGCTTTCCCTTGGAAACCTATAAATAGTTTTCTGACATCACTCCTTTGCCTAATATCTTTGGAAACCATTTCAGTAGCTCTCCTTGACAAATTTTCTTGCTTAACTACTGCTCTGTAGATAGACCTGCATCAGCAATAAGCTCACCACACAGGTAGTGTTGGGGGTGTGTGCCCACAGCACACGTACTTGTTGCCTTCATTATATACCAGAGTGCATATAGGAGGGCAGGTGGCTCCATCTGGAGAATCTTAGACTTTATAGCAGTGACCAGCTCCTGTAAGCATTCAAAAGTAAATGAGTAATGCTGAGTTAGGTGTGGGTTGACTTTTCTGACATTAAAACAGAAAGAAGGCCGGGCGTTGGTGGCACACGCCTTTAATCCCAGCACTCGGGAGGCAGAGGCAGGTGGATCTCTGTGAGTTCGAGGCCAGCGTGGTCTACAGAGTGAGTGCCAGGATAGACTCCAAAGCTACACAGAGAAACCCTGTCTCAAAAAAACCAAAAAAAAAAAACCCAACCAACCAAACAACAACAACAACAACAACAAAAAAAACAAGACAGAAAGAAGTTGTCTTTGTATTCTATTGCTGTGAAGTGACACCATGGACATGACAACTCTCATAAAGAATAAAACATTTAACTGGGGCTGGAATACAGGTTCAGAAGTTTAGTCCATTACTGTCATGGATAGAAGCGTGGTGGCATGTAGGAAGACATGGTACTGGAGATGTAGCTGAGACTTCTACATCCCGATTGGCAAGCCACAGGAAGAAAGAGTAACAGTGGTCCTGACTTGCACATCTGAAACTTCAAAGCAAATTCCTTCATCCATTGAGTCATATTGCAGTCTCCTTCATTGGTATTTAAAAGAAAATCAACCATCTCAACCAAACACATATCAGTACTGTCTAAATCCCACAAGACCATAGATTACATATAGAAGATGATCCTCAATTCATCTTCTGAGACAAGATACTCACTCTCTCTCAACCTGATTTAACTTGGTACTCCAGTCTTTGAGATTCCCTTTTTGTTGCTTGAGAAAGAATTTGGAAAACTTTCCCTTGCTTCTGATCAGTGGGTATGACATTGATGTCTGTATTCTTGTTACACGAACACAGCTAAGGCATCTGTCTTAGCTCAGTGGAATAGAACAGCAAGGCTCACTTCCTTTACATCTTTCTGCCCAGCCATGGGGTCTGGCAATCTACAGCCTGCCTTGCATGATATACCTCATGTAGTTACTTCAAAAAAGGGAAACACATGGAGGGCTTTCTAAACAATTTGTGGTTGGGGATTAGGGATCATACTCACCAGAAGTAGCAGGAAATACAAACTCATTTTAAAAACAGGGTCCCATGCCACACTCCAGCAATAGTGCTTAAAAGCTTGCCTGAGATTTTGAGAAACTCTTTGTATCTACAAGCCCCCAAACCTAACACCATTACCATTCCTCATTCCTCAAATAAGGACAAACACAAAAACAACTTACTGTAAACTGGATTTGGCAGCCACCCATGATGTAGTCCAAGAAGGAATGCATCTTGTGGATCTGCAAGGGAGATGGCCTGGATTAGTAATAGCACAATCTGCTTTCCCTGAAGACTGAAGGCCTACACTTCAGGAATAGGTTGCTGTGGTGACTTGAATAAGTATGAGCCCCATTGATTCAAGTTTGAATGTTTGGCCTATAGGGAGTGACACTATTAAGAGGTGTGGCCTCATTGGAGTAGATGTGACCTTGTTGGAAGAAGTGTGTCACTGTGGAGGTAGGTTTTGAAGTCTCATATGCTCAAGCTGTGCCCATTGTGGGACATAGTTCACTTCCTGTTGCCTACAGATCAAGATGTAGAACTCTCAGCTCCTTCTCTAGCACCATGTCTGCCTACATACCACCATGAAGATAATGAACTAAACTTCTGAAACTGTAAGCCAGCCCCAATTAGATGTTTTCCTTTGTAAGAGTTTCTGTGGTCATTGTGTCTCTTCACAGCAATAGAAATTCTAACTATGACAGAAGTTGATACCAGTGACTGGGGTGTTGCTGGGATAGGCAAGACCATGCTTTTGTTTGGAAGAATTTGGATTTTGAGACTTTGTGTTAGGAAAGCAGTAGAATACTTTAAGAACTGCTTAATGTATTATATTAGTAGGAGCATGGAGGATAGTGCTACTAAGACTGATTTGAACTGTGGTATACTGTCTCAAGAGGTTTACGAGGAGAAAAATTTTAGTATGTTGCCTTAAGATTGTTCTTGTGATATTTTGGTGAAGAATATGGCTACTTTTGCCCTTTTCCAAAGAATTTGCCTGAGGCTAAAGTGAAGAGTTTTCCTAATTCCATTGGCAGAGGAAATCTCAAAATAGTCTAGTATTGACTGTGTCCTGAGGTTATTAGTATTCACTCTTATGAAGATCTATAATGAAAATGAGTAAGCTGAGAAAGGAAAAATACAAGATGTACAATTTGAGGAGAAAGGGGGTACCAGGAAGTAGAAAGGAACTAAATTCTGTTCAAGGAAATGAACAGACTAAAGGAAAGCCCAATGTTAAATGGGACAAAGGGAGTGGGGACCTCAGGGCAAGACCCCACTCAGCTAAGCTTCCAACTTGTGAAAAGGAATTGAAGAACAACTTAGGTACAGTTATGTTGGCACATGCCTTTAATCCCAGCACTCAGGAGACAGGGCAGGCAGATTTCTGAATTCAAGGCTAATGTGGTCTACAGAGCAAGTTCCAGGACAGCCAAGCTTAGGCAGTGAAGGAAGCCATCAAAAACAAAATACTGGTAAAGATGTAATTGAACAAGGGGGCCATGTTCCAGTCCCAGCAAACAGCAGAACTTAGCAGCTTCATTCACATGGTTCTGGCTTTAGAGTCAAGGATACAAGAAAGGGATTATAGAATCTCCCTCTGTAACTAAGGAAAGTTGCTGAGGCCAGGCTTGTATCAAGGGTATCTCTGTATTGAAGCCCAGAGAGGCCATTGTGTGAAACTGTGAATATGAAGCCTAGATTGCTTTGAAGATGCCAATACATTAGAGATGCCAGAGCTATGGGATACTTGCCAATGAGAGTTGTTAACAGGGATTGGAACCAGCTCAACAGAAAGAAGTATATTATAGTCAACAAAGCTGAACATCAACCAGCTGGGCAAACTCCAAACTCTGCATCTCCATGTCTAATGTCAAAACTCTGTTCAGATCTCCAAATCCTTTCAGCTTTGTTGTGATATGCTTTTTGATTTTACAGCAGATTACAGTTAAAAGATTACATGAATCCCAGGAGAGACTTTGAACTTTTGACTTTTAAACAAGTTTGAGACTATTGCAGACCATGGGGACTTTTGAAGTTGCACTGAATGAATCTCTGCACTATGCTATGGCTATAAGCCTATGGGAGCCAGTGAGTATAATGTGGTGGTTTGAATAGGTATGACCCCCATAGACTCAGGTGTTTGAATGCTTGGCCCATAAGAAGTGGCACTATTAGGAGGTGTGACCTTGTTGGAGGAAGTATGTCACTGTTGGGGCCAGCTTTGAGGTCTCATATGCTCAAGCTATGCCCAGTGAGGAACACAGTTCACTTCCTGTTGTCTACAGATCAAGAGATAGAAATCTCAGCTCCTTCTCCAGTACCGTGTCTCCCTGAACACTGTCATAAAGAACTAACCTCTGAAACTGTAAGTCAGTCCCAATTAAATGTTTTCCTTTATAAGAATTGCTGTGGTCATGGTGTCACTTCACAGCAATAGAAACCTAACTAAGATATCTGCTAAGCCAAGGAAAAGGACAGAAAAGGACAGATCTGTGGGTGTCTTCAACATTGAAGATAGGACTAGGACATCTGCAGATTCCGACCCTCTGTTCACCTTTATTTGAGTTTATATATTGCTTTAATTGACAAATGCCTTTGGGCTGAGACATAGACCACATTTTCAAGACTCATTACTATTTCAGAATAAGGAATGCCTCATATTTAGTCACCCTCTCCCCACATTACTTGAGTATCTTCCTCAAGAACTGCCCTGTGCATAGAAGTGTCTGAGCCATGACCTGTACTTCCTGAACTTTGGAGTCAAGTCCCTGGGAAGGGGAAGGTAGCATTGGGCTGTCACAGCTTTTAGTCCATTCATAATCATATTTCATTTCCTTTGTCTGGTGCTATATTGATTTTATAAATTTTGTCTTAGAGAAGTCCATTCTCTTATAAAAAAAAAACTCTTCCCGCTTGATCACTTGACTTGAACTTCTCCCCCAAAGCAGCTCCAGCATTGTGTTCCTGGTAGAGAGAGGATTACACATACCTTACACTGATTCAGAATCACCATGCCTGAGTTCTTGTAATTCTTCTTCTTGGCCTTGTACTTGGGGTTGATGCATTCCCACTGTACCTACACAAAAAGGGTCAAATGTGAGTGTCTTCGAGAAGAAGTCAAGTCTTTAAATGAGGCCAAGCTTCAGGGAACACACACATGGAACTGGATAGCTGGAAAAATGGTCTCTAGGTGGTAACGCTAGCATCTAGGAGAATGGTAAGGGAGAGTGATTGATGGAGACAATGGACTGCCTGGTTCATATTCCATGCCTTCATTTCCCAGCTATGTGTCCTATGCTAAGCTGCTTGACTCCCCTGTGCCTTGAATTTCTCTTCTGTATAACTGAGCTCATGATTCCTCAGGTCTTGGCCCTTCTCTTGGCTGTGATCTCAGAGGGTACTCCATGAAGGACAGGATTGGAGCCTTGGTAAGGACTGAGAACTGAGGGATTAACTGGTAGCCATCTAGAACAATTTCTAGCTCTTCCAGACCACAGATTTCATGAGGCAGAAGCAACTGAGAGTCAGATACCCAACATTCACTGGACATTTCTGCTCATGATCCTGAAGGAGCTGGACTCTGAGGCTTCCACTCAGGGCAGAAAAGTTTATTCCTGACAATCAAAAAGAAGCAGCTTGGGAGGCAAACATGAGCAGGCTAGACTGACACTTCAGTGGCCTCCTATAACCTCAGTGCCCATGCATTAGTTATGTGACTTGTTTTGGCCAATGGGACATTAAAATTTTTGTGAGAATAGAAGCTAGAAAAACACCAGTGTTCTGAAACTGCCTTTTTGCTTCTAAGTTTTATTTTGCCATTTTGTAAAAAAAATATACATTGGAGGATAAAACCATCACCTCTATTACCACCACCACCACCACCACCACCACCACCACCACCACCACCACAACAACAACAACAACAACAACAAAAAACACATATGGAGAGCTTCACCAGGCATCTCTGCTGCTTATGCGCAAAAGCCTGAGAGTTTCATGGCATCATAAAGGGCAGAGGGGAGCTATCCTGGGTGAACCAGGCAAAATTGCCAACCAAGAAAATGTCAAGTAATCATGGCTGTTTTCAGGTAGGAAATTAGTAGACAATTTGTTACTCAGCAGCGGCTAACAGTAGTCTCACCCCCCCCAGGAGGCCCCAGAAGTGACTGAGCCACTTCCTTGGTGATGCTGAGACTCACACATCAGTATTACTCCAGATCCTGTCTGGCGACCACAATGACTACTTCCAAGAGTGTCCTGGAGTGGGCCCTTCTAGTTAGTATTGTGAAACTTTCCCTTGATCATCTCAAACTAAAGATGCTTATGAGACACTAAAGAATGAATGAAGATTAGTTAAGAAATTACCCTGTTCTGTCAGCAGCATCCTGACTCAGGCAGGGAAGTGGGAAGTGAACAATGGGGATCCTCTTTTCCCTCTGGTGTGGTATGCTGGGTCCTCAGGTTCAAGGCTCCTGCCTGGCTGTCTGCCAGCTCTCCTCCTTTATTCACATCTTCACTCAGTTTTAACCCTTTCTTTCCATGGTGCCTAACAATCCTTTTCATGTAGGCAGCCCTCTATGGCGGTTTGTCTAAAACCCAGTTCTCCAGCTTTCTTCACAAACTGGGCCTCCTTTCCTCAAAATTTCCCCATCTCAGGATCTTTGTATCATGCCCTTCCTCCCTCCCATTCTCTAATCTCCCAATAAATCTTACAGTTCTCATTTCCAACATACCTTAATTTTCACTACTTTGTCTCTGTCCATTGCCATTAATCTGGGTGGTTGTCTCATCTTGTCCCACTATGGTTGTGGCTGCTTAACAGATTGGCCAGGCACTTCTTCTTTTCTCTGTAAATGGTTACATACTAGCCAAAGCATTCAAAGCATTCTCTCTCTCTCTCTCTCTCTCTCTCTCTCTCTCTCTCTCTCTCTCTCTCTCTCTCTCTCTCTCGCGTGTGTGTGTGTGTGTGTGTGTGTGTGTGTGTGTGTGATGTATGTATGCACATGTGAATGACCCATGCACATGTGTGGAAGTTAGAGGACAGCTTGAAGGAGTTAGTTCTCTCCTACTTTTTGGATCCCTGGAATCAAGCTCATGCCATCAGGCTTTGAAGCAAGTGCTTTTACCAGAGGAGCCATCTTCTCCATCCCGCCTTTCTTTTTTAAATAACATTTGTCACAAGTTGTAATTGTCTTTTAGGTTTTTGTTTGTTTTGTTCATGTTCAGATTCTACTTTGGCTCCCATCAGTCTGTTAGCTTCAGGAGAGCAGAGACAATGTTGGCATGGCTGGTGACTGCACACCCAGAGCCAGCCAGGCACAATAGATGTCAAATCATCAAAGAGATTGCACCCACCACATGAATGTGTCAGCACAGGGCCTTGTTGTGCAACTAAGTTCTCCTGGTATCTCACAGATACAGAGAAGTACAGCAGGGTGCATTTCATGGCTTCAGTGTAAATTACAGATTTATCTCTGTTTATCTGGGAGCTTCTAGCCTTGGTGGTCTTCAGTTATGATGGATGTTATAATCCTACCTTTAATGGCCTCTTAGGAACCCAAAGATGAAATGTTGCCCCAATCTACTGACCTGACTATTTCTGTTTATAGAGGAGGAAGATGCAAGTGTATGAGACACTTCAGAGTTGCGGCAGGTAGTGTCAGTAAACTGGCCTGTCTCTGCATTTAATACAGCAGCAGTGTGTTCCTTATTATCCATGGAGTGACTGATTATTATTTAGTGTTGACTTTAATTGTGGCCCTTGGGAAAGTAATACTACTTTCCCAAGATTACATAGGTAAAGGAAATGAGACATAAATGCGTTGAACCACTCTGTTTTTCCCATTGAGAAACTTCTATTTCAGGGTGATGTCTTGACAAGGTCACAGAGTGGCTTTTGCTAGGATTGTTCTAAAATCAAATCCTACAACCCTCCCTTCCCATCAGACTCAACCATACATGGTAGATTTGCCTTTAGCACTTCCATTTCTAGCTCAAGGTGCATCCTAAAGAGTGCTGGGATAACTCCACCTACCTGTTTCCCTTCCATGGCTCCTCTCATCTCCTTGAAGGTGGAGGTGAATTCTCCAATAAAGTCATGCTTGCCATTGGAGTCCCAGTCCCACACTATGCACTGCAAGACAAAAGGATGATTGGTTTCCCCCAAGGTTTTTAATCACAGAAGCTATAGGCACTGTGAACTTTATAAGGAAGAGCATATGAAAGATGTTTGGTCTATAACAAAAGCTGGATGTAATATCCCTTTTGGTTTCTATAGCTTTTCACTTGGCTTTATTAGCTACAACCTCCAAACATCCCTGTGACATATAAGTGTTTGCAGAAGAAGCCAGTGAGAACCAGAGGAGAAAGGTGGGACTGGCTAGAAGGGCCATCTAGTGAATGACAGCCTGAGTTTTGAAGGTGGTTGTCCTGCCTCTGATTCTGATGCTTTTTCTCTCAAGTTCTAATTTTTAATTAAAAAAAAACATCACAGATAGTCTCTGGTTTATAGGTTGAGAAGTTATCTGAGTTCATGAATTTGTAGCTTTCAGAGCAGTAGCCTATTAGTGATTTTGATTGAATGATATTATTCTTATTTTTTCTATTTGCCTGATGACAAAAGTAAATGCCAACAAAAGCAAATGAAAAGGTTAAAAAGTGAAAGATTTCATGGTACCTTTAAGAGAAATGGATGGATGACAGTGACCAATAAACCACCCTGGTAAATATCACACATCCATCACCCAGCTGTGGCTATTCATATCTAGCAAGAGAGATCCATCTGCCACTGTTATGGCTAGATTCTGAATATTCTATCAATATTTCCTCTATGACTAGATTAAATCAACAATAAGCTCTCTGATTGGCTACATGACCAGGTAAAGAGGAAGGTCCTGATTTTTTTCTACAGTGAAGATTAGACCATGGTCTTTAGAAACAATGGTGTATTTGCATTTTAAGGCAATGGGGCACCACAAAGAGTTTTAAACCTTAAATTTGGTCAAGAAAGCAAGAGGGACTTTTACTCAGAGATGCTTTAAAAAACACAGTGTCCCCCACAACTATCCCTGTCTTCCCTCAGGCTTCAGATATCTTCATCTCCATTCTGCCCGAGAAACCCAATTGCTTTCTTCTTCCTAGATCATGTGGAATGCCCCACACATGTACAAATAAATATACACCACCACCAGATACATCCTTGCATATTTAATATTTTGTTACAATAAATTGCACCTACATCCATGTAGTTACTACAACTGAAAATGGACACCATCCCTAGCATTTATCTTTATGCTCACAAGTCACACACTGGTTCTCTCCACGCTGTCTGCTACACATTGCTTGACTCCACTCCTTTTCTGTGCCATACTTCTTCTTAATCTGTTACTACAATAGCCACCCAGGTGACCTCCTGGCCCTCCCCTGTATTTATCTACCCTCATGATCTATTAATTATGTTAATTACCTGATTTGAATAAAATGAGTATCTGGCAATAGATTTTCCAAGATTTTCCATGATCTTATTGCCATCAGTATTTTCAAATTTCCTATAATCCATGCTTACAATATTTTAAAAACAATTTGTAAAATAAAAAGTGAGGTGGGTGGGAATGTAAAACACTGGTTTTGCTAAGACTTTAATTTTTCTGTTTGAGGCATCTTGAAAAAACTAATTTCTCTGCTTCTTTCTCCTTAAGCATGGAGGATTTTGTTAACTAATCCCCTTGCTTGGAAAACATTAATAATATTTTCTGTGAAGAAAGAATGCATCACCACAAATCAGAATGGCAGAGGTGAGGACAAAGGGAACTGAATTGCTTTGCTGAACCAGTAAGGACAACCTTAATTTCTCTTTGAAAACTGGAGACCCAGGGGTGAGGGCTGAGAGTAACTGAGTAGTTTCCATCAGAAGACTGAAGACCGGCAGCTGTGCCGGTCTTAGATGTGTTCAGAGACCCATGTATTCAAGACCCATGCTTGGCCTCCATCCTGTATCACTATCAGAACACGGTGGAGCTGTCAGGACCTGTATTAGTTCATTTTGTGGCTCTGATAAAACACCATGACCCAAAGTGACTCATGGAAGAGTTTATTTTAGCTTATAGTTCCAGAAGGAGAGTCTATAACAGTGAGGAGACATGACAGCCGATGGCATGGATGTTGGAACAGGAAGCTGAGAGATCATATATTTCTCCATACACAGGAAATAGGGCAAACTGAAACCGGGACAAGGCCATATACTATTAAAGCTGTTCCCCAGTGATATAATTCCTCTGGCAAGACTCTGATGTCTAAAAATTCCACATCCTCCCTAAATAGTGTTACCAATTGGAGACCAAGTATTCAAATATGTGAATCTATGGGAAACCTTTTTTAATTCAAACAAATACAAAACCCGGGCCCTCTTCTTCCTCTTTTTGTTTCCCAGCCATCTTGAGAGGAGCAGGTCTTCTAGGTCATATGCTCTCATGACATTTTGCCTTGGGCCCAAAAGCCATGCACTGCAGCTCCCATAACTGCAGGCCAAAAGAAATCTGTCCTCTTGTAGAGTTGATCATCTCAGGTATTTCTGTCATAGTGACAGAAATACTGACTAACATACAGAGCCAGCAAATAAGGTGGGAGGAGGTAAAACAAACAAACAACAGAAATCCACATAGCTTTGAAAACATGGATGTCTGATTCGATCCCCTAGTGCTGTCACCAGGTCCTGTCTCCTGTCAACTCTGGGACTTCTGCCAGAGTTCTGCCCCCACAGCATTGTGTTGATGGTTACTTGTAGAATAAAGACAGAGTGCCATATTCATGTTCCGGGGGTCATACCAGAAAGCAGAATGAGATAGAAGGGGACATACCAGAAAGCAGTGACTGAGCACTGAGTGGAAATCAGGAGTGTGAAGCTGGGTCTGGCAGGTGAGTCTGAGGAGGGGAGCACCACAGGAGGCTCTACACTATAGAGGCTTGTGTAGGGATGTGGGTTGAGTCTATCACTGTGTGTTTGTGTGTAGTGATGTGGATTCCAGTTCTTGAGTGTATCACAGTGTGTGTGTGTGTGTGTGTGTGTGTGTGTGTGTGTGTGTGTGTACACATTTCTATATATGTTACATAGATTTGGGTGTGGGCATGCATGCATGCATGCATGTAGGCCAGAGATCAACTCTGGGTATCTTCCAAAAACTTTCTCCTTTAATTGAGGGAGGCTCAGGCTCTCAGTGGACTCAGGGCTGGTCAATTTGGCTATACTGGCTGGCCAACTGGGATTTTAAACTCATATTGCCACAACCAACTGTATGTACATGGCTGCTAGGATCAAGCTTGGGTCCGCATGCTTATATAGTAGCTACTTTATTGACTCAGCCCCTCAATTTTGTTTACTTAGAGTTTATTATTGAAACATATGTGCATGTAAGATATTATAATAAAATCCATAGTTATTCATAATTAATATATGCTATAAAATAAAAACATTTAGAAATTATCTAAATCTTATACATGACTGTTATAAACAGTTAAGTGTGATTGTTCTTTGAGAAGCCCACATCCATGCTCTCTTTGTGCTTTAATCTTTCTTTGAGTGCCTTTCTTCTCTTTATTAAATAAACCACCATTCTGCTGCAAAACAAAAACCACCACCACAACAAAAATAGGTCCCCACAATGAGAAGTGAAGTTCTGATAAAAAACATTTTTAAAAAATTTACACTAATGTTTTGGTCTTTTGGTTTCCTTAGTTGACAAATGCAAAAAGTAAATTACTACCATAGGAAGTTGAAAATTTTCTTAATTAAAGAAAAAAGAATAACCCTCCCATTTATGAAGTTTGCCTCTAGTGCTGTGAGTCTACCTGCTTTCCCTCCCAATCACAGAGTAAGGCTACATTTCTCTGTCCCTGGGGTTGGAAGTGGCCATAGGACCAGCCCTGGGTGATGAACTGCAAGGGAAAGCTCTGAGAATTTTCAGAAGGAAGCATGGAGGACCAGAGTTTTTTCATGTTTTATTTCTGTCTGTGCTTGGTAGCTGTCCATGGTAGCTGTCCCATTGACCTGAGACCCTCCCTCACTGAGGGTTTCTCAACCTAGCTCCCTGGTCATACATGGTAGAGATAGATGCACACAGGAAACAGATCTCTGCTGCTCTTGGCCTCTGAGATTAGTGCACAGTCTGCTAAGAACCCCTTAGAGAATGGCCATAGGAAAAGGTCTCATAACTGATTGTGACTCCAAAAGTAGGAAAAACAGATGTCTGAAAAGAAGGAAACAAACAAATGCTTACTAATAATTAAATTGGCTCAAAACCCAAATAATAAACAGGAGTCTGTTTCATTGCTAGGGATGTCCAAGCAGTGAAATCATATTAGCTTAAGGTAGGCCCTAGAGCAATGACTCGTGTGTGTGTGTGTGTGTGTGTGTGTGTGTGTGTGTGTGTGTGTGTGTGTGTCTAGGGTGGATTCCACATACAGGACCCAGTGGGGAAAACCTAAAAGGGGGGAGGAAGCAATGAGGGACTTTGGGGATGTCTTTGAGCTGTCATCTAACTTGAGCAATGTTATTCTTTTGTTTAAAAAGAAGAAAAGAGAAATGCTAAGACATGAGACATGTTGACTATAAGCTTATTATAAGGGCCGGCAGAGTAGGGAGACTAAGAAGAGGAACAGGGGTAATGGCTGACTGCCATGGCCAGTCGCCATAGAGACAGGCTGAGAGAGAGCCAAGAAGAAACAGAGAGTAGAGAGAGAGTGAGGCAGGAAAGTTGGAACTTTTAAAGGGAAGACTGCGCGTGCGCACTGAAGTTCCATGCATGCCCAGGGTGATGGGTGACATGGCAATGAAGTAGCACATTTTCTTATGCATTCCCTGACCGTTGTCAGGGGGCAGGGCCTGAACCTTTCAAGCATGGCAAGGTTAGTTCTTGTTGCGGGGTGCAAAATGAAGTCAACAGAAGGCTTTGCTCATTTTTGGCTGAAATGCTAAGTGTGCTGAACAGTTTGTGTCATACGATTGGCCTGTAGTCATTTTCTTGATGAATGATCGGTGTGGGAGGGCCCAGCTCACTATGGGCTATGACACTCCTGTGGCCATGGGTTGTATAGAAAGCCAGGCTGTGAGCCAAGGGGAGCAAACCAGTAAGCAGCATT